AACAAATTCTGGAAGGATCGGGCAAGGGAACTTAGAGCGCACGGCGCGGTCGGCCGGAATAAACTATTTAATTTTTACATGTTACAGTTAGTAACAAAATCGAAAATCGACTTATTTCGATAGTACGATGCTTGCAGATTATTTTTATATTGAATTCATGCGCGCAACAAAATCTGGAAGGATGAGACAAGGAAACTTAGAGCGCGCGGCGCGGCGCGGTCGACCGGGATAAACTATTTAATTTTTACATGTTACAGTTAGCAACAAAATCAAAAATCGACTTATTTTAATAGTATGATGCTTGTGGATTATTCTAAAATCGAATTCATGCGAGCAACTAATTCTTTGAAGATTGGGCAACGGAACTTATAACGGGCAGGGCACACTATGTAGGTTTTCTACTGTTATTTATATTTATTTTGCGAGTAATTGAATCAAGATTAACATATTTTGTGAGCAACAAATTAGTAACAAATTCTTCAAAGACGTTATTTTTATGCATAATTTTGTTGTTATATATATATTGTACTGCTAATTTAATCTTCCTTTAGCAGAACATCATTTAAAAAAAAACTAATAGAGCGACAAATTATTTTCTTTGGCAACTTTTTAGCAACAAATTTAATAAGCAACAAATAATTTTACTAGTTAGAATTGATTCTGCTCATTTTGTTCTGCAAATTTATAAGACGTCGTTTTCTTTACCTGTATTTCGTATATTCTGTTGTGGGATATTTTTTTCATTGCTCTCCTTTAAAATATATATCCATATAAACGAAATGGCTAGGATCATATCTGTCGTAATTAAGTATTCTTGCATCATTATCGTGCATTAAATAAAAAGTTCAAAATATTCTTCTAAATTCTTTTAAATATTACATTACCTAATATTTTTTTTTAAATCTTATATTCTTAATTTGTACGTGTCAAACATGTATGTTAGATATAGTTCTCCGAATCAAAATGTACGAATATTTAGATATTTCAATATCATTGCAATCGCTTACTTGTTTATTCGTATGACCGCATGTACATTAACAACGCACATGTCACAACCGTCCGGAACCGATTTTGATTCTCCTTGAAATATGTTGTTAAACACAAAAATCTAAGAGACATATTTTTGTTACGTACGAAAAGGCTATTTTCTTCCGAATTCAATCATTTAAGAAATTTGAAAAACTGAGTGGTGAGGGTACTTTATTAAACAAAAAATTAAAAATTTTTTACAACTTGAAAGTATTCTTCTTTAAACCGTACTTCTGTTGAAAACATTTTTTTTATCTTTTGTATTTCCGATGATATTCGCCCCAAAAGAGAAAAACAGTTTTTTTCAAAAGTGTTTCACCTCCTAAACACGAGATACCGCACGTATAAAATATGTCTTACATTTTTGTGTTTAACATATTTCAAGAAAAATCATATCGATTCCGGACGCGCGGTTGTGACATGTCTCTTGTAAAACAAAACAGTGAAAAATAAACAAGCACAGTGCATACCGAAGGGAAGAAATAATCGTGCCAGTTCAGATGAATATGCAATCAAAAAGGCATATGCTTGTTCTTGAGGTGCTTTTTCGTGTTTGTATTATATATGTACGCTTCTAAATACATAAAAACAAAGAAAAATAGAAAAAGGGAAAGAGAGAGAAAGGAAAAAAAAGGAGAGAAAAAACGAGAAGCGCACACGTATGCGACTTCTATTTATATAATTATGTAATAAATTATTTATATAGAATATATAATTGTATAATTATATTATAAAACATACATATATTCACTCTTTGAAAAAAAGTGTTAAATCGAATTGAATTCATTATTGCCCTTTTTCTGTGAAGCTCTCTGATTCTCTCGTTTTGCTTACTTCATACCTACTGAAAGAGTAACTCAGCATAGGGATCGTATTTTGACAACTCATAAAGATTAAATTATCGTGATTAATTTATATAATTGTGTAATTGTATATTTGTATACTTGAAGTACATTCTCATTCACTCATAATATACATTAGATGCATTATTTATCCTTGTTTATCGAATATTAAACAAAGATAAACGTTGCTATAAAGAAAATGCACCATTGTTTTTTGTATAGGTATACATATATCACGCAAATAACACGCTCCTGTATAATATACAATAAAAAATTAAGGAAGTTTTTAAAAGAAGTTACATTTTCTTAAATATCTCAGATTATATGTAATATATAAACCCATATATAAACCCATTAGGTCGTTTATCCAAGTTTCATAGATTTGTCAGATGTAACCTGAGATACATTTAAAAAAATTATTTTTTTGAAAAACTAAATAATCTATCTCTTAGGTTTTGGAACTTATGTTTATTAAGTCTAGTATCCACAATGTTAAAAATCGTCCCGAGAGATCTTGGACGAAGAAAGACTCAACAAATCACATTTGAACATTTCGGTCAATTAACCAAGACGATTCTTACTCCGTCCGAAATCTCGGAGCAATTTCTGACAATTCGTGACTTATAAACATAGGCTCTAAAACCAAGATACAGAACATTAAAGTTTCTAAAAAAATTCTTTAAATATATCAAGTCATACAAATCTATGATACTTTGATGAACGACTTAATGGATGTATGTCATTTCCCCTTGTATATTTATATTGCTGCGAAAGATGGTTATTATTAATCATCACTTATTTCCACTTTATTCAACATCTCAACTTAATTTCTATTCGAGAGCAATAGTTTTATTATTTGATATTACGCTTACGAAGATACAATTTCGTTTATTTATTTGGGAAGAAGGTGAATCTATTGATAATTATCTGGAGTAAATAATGACACAGATCAAATCGAAGAGAGAATACACTCGAGGAAAGACTAGGAAACGATGCGAAAAGAGGAGTAGCATCTTCCAATGTGGCACAAAGAAAATGCACGAACGTATACACGCATAAGGTGGAGAAGCGCGAAATTCTTGATCATACGCACGCATGCAACGCCGACGCCACCGCCACGTTTCGAAACGTTTCGTATATATACTATCGTATAGTCGTATACTCGACTACGCGAGGCGCGCCGCCGTCTTGGCGCGCGCGCGTGCATGCAGGAAGCCATGATTGCGCGTACACTATACTAACCTGTCGGAGGCGATTTTCTCTCCCTTGATATTCTGCTTGGCGTCCTAATATCTGAAGTTGGCTGAGTATTTTCACTGCGTGCAGCTACACTGCGATCACCAAACTATTCACACTTGCTTTCGTCTGTCTTTCTCTATGTCTCTTTATCTCTATCTTTCTCTCCTTTTTCACTCCACTCCTTGTCTCTTTTGCGTTCGCGCGCTATCTCTCTCTCTATCTCCTTTTCTCACTTTTTCTTCCTTCTTTTACGTGGTCTTCCTACGTCTTTCTTGAAAATATATTCCCCGCTCGTCGTCAATTCTACAGAAATGCGCGCGGCAGCAACGGCGTCCGTCTACCGGGTGACCACCGCGGTCGGCACGGCATACGAAGTCACGCGAATATACTATCGAACACTGCAGTCTCTGTATAATCGTAAAATATGAATCGCACACGATTCGCGATATACACGAAAGAAATTTTCGCGTTTCACGTTTCACTATTCTCAATTCAATTCGCTAATAATTCACACAGATTCTCGGTACCTACGCTCCGAACTGCTATTCCTTGCTGAAGGAAAATGGCGGCCCCCGGGTACCTCGCGCGCGCCACCCGATGCTCATCGTCACCGGCCGAGTGCAGCCGAGCGCGGTCGAAAGCGCCCGAATGCTGTTCGCTGAACAATATAACGCGTTCGATTCGTTGAATGGTTTCAATGGTTCACACATTGAAAACACATTGCTGTTTACGCTAAAAAGCGATATCTTTGTCTCACATCACGCAGCGCGAATCGGTGATTACCGGTAAACTTTTTATCGAGGAAAATATATAAGATTTAAAATCTGCTTTTAATTTAAATTATCACTGAAATTTTCTAATAGAATTTTTTCTGTAATTTTGTAAGTTCATAATCTTGATAGAATACAAAAAACAAACAGAATACACGTAGTACATAATATAAAACTATAAATAGAATTTTGTTTCAATTTCTTCGCAAATTATACCATGACAAAAATAGTTTTGTTTCTCAAACACGAAAAAATCGATGTTCATAAAAGTAAAGACTAAATCTAGAAGTGCATTCTATTCCAAAATCAAGTCCATAATCAAATGGATTAAGTTATTTGTTTCTTAATATTCATTTGACGTTTAAAAGAAATCATTTCGGCCACAATGCAAGATGAAATTTGTGATTGTCTGAAAATCATGTATTTCCATATAAAATTGGTCCTAAATTGGTTTCCTAAATCCAAGAATGATACAATTAAAACGAATTGGAGCAGAGCAAAACAAAATTTTAGACGAAAATCGCTCAGTTTTCTTTTTTTCGATTTTTTTCTAACAAGTTGTTGTTATCAAGTTGTAAGTTATCACATTTTTTTCATTATCATTCACGAAGAAAATTGTAGAAAGAAGAAATTTGAACAATTTTCGCCTAAAAATTTTTTCTATTACTTTGCTCTGTTCCAATTGCTTTAATCATTTTCGGGTTCAGCAATTTTTCATAAAAATATAATTTTCCGACAATCGCAAAATTTCATCTTACATTATGAAAATAACTTCCTAAAAACTTCAAATACCTAAAAAAAAATTAATTAATCTCGGAACGAAATGGAATTTTTTCTTCATGGAACGTACTTCTTGTATATTTCGTCTCTACTTTCGGATATATAAATTTTTTTTCATGTGTGAAAATGCTATATGGTATTACAGCTTATCAAAAGTGTTTTTATTTTTAAAAAAGGAATACGAAGATTAACAATTATAAATTATTTTTTCAAAAACTGCTTAATAAAGTCTATATATTTAATCTAATTTTTCAAAATTGATATATATTATTTACTTTTAAAAATATTATATTTTGTGACAAAAGATAATAATTATCTAAAGGAAATAATAAAACATACAATCAATTTACCATTTTATAAAACTAATGTTTTGGATAAATTTTACAATTTTCTTAATGCTGCTAGTGTAGTATTGATTGATTTATGTTTACTGTTCCAATATGGAGTTTATTTATAATATTTTGACCATTTTGAATGTTTGAAAACAATATTTAATAGTCAAGTACACTGTTTGATGACAATTGTTTTATGATGTTGTCATCTTATTTCTATTTCATCTAATTTTACAATTCTTTATGCTTTTGCAGCAAGAGCTTCAAGGTCTTTGATACATTGCTGAAGAGTTGCTTTCTGCTGTTCAGGAGTGATAGATTTCAGTACAGCATTTACAATCCATTGCACCATATGCTTCTGTGCAATTCGGCGTTCGAGATTTTGTATTTGCACTTGATAGTCAAGACGCTTCTTCACCTATAAACAATAAGCAAATTGAAATTCCTTAATTATATTTTTTTTTCTTGAAAAAATTTGGTATAAAAATAGTGATACAATATATATTATAGATATATTATGAATAATAAGCTATAATAGAAAGAAAAAGAAGAAAAGAAACTAGGAAAGTGAGAGATGCAAAGAGAGAAGATAACAAGAAATAAAAAGAGAAAAAGGAATAGGAAGATCCCGAAGAGCAAGAGGATAAAAAAACAAGAAAGTCAGCCAGGAAGATGGTGAAGAAAATAGTTATGTTTAGAATCAGAGGATAGATTAATTGAACTTCAGCCGCGGGAAATAAATTAAACAAAAGAAATAAATTAAATTTTGTAATAGAATAATGAATTAGAAGTTGATATGTAATAATGTAAAATATAGGAATAAAAATTGAAAAATATAAATGTGAAATGTAACAGAGTAGGTATAGAAAAGTA